CAATTGACTTAAACTAAATGTTAAACACATTTAAACAAACGATTAAAACATGTGTTGGTTTGGGACGGATGTGGGAACACACTGTACCCCCGATGCGAGGGGTGAGCGCAAGTGTGCGGCGATGTGTGAGTACGGGTGGTGTGGTGTGTACGTACCAATACGACCCTGATCTATTCAAACCCTATCCTGAACCCAAACGATGGCCGGAAAAAAATCTTGTGGTTTTGCAGCCAACAGGACTATCGGATCCGCAAAACATACGGGTATTTGGTGTTTAAATACTGTATATTTGTATTTATTTCAACTTTGATTTTTTATTTTTTCAGACTTATTGTCATTTTAGAGCAAACATTAAATACTCGCCCAAAAAAATGTGGTTTATATCGAGTTTTGTATGTATATGACGTCCACCCCTTCCCTCCCCTCTAATGATTTGCTAATTAATGTTTGATATGCCAACAGATAAGGGGTATGTCTATAGACGAGGCGATTAAACAGTTGTCATTTGTGCCTAAAAAAGGGGCGCAAATCGTGATGGAAGTGCTTCGAGAGGCACAGGAGGTGGCGGTTCGCGACCATAACTTTGAATTGGCGTCCAATATGTGGATCGGAGAGAGTTTTGCCACAAAAGGATATGTTATGAAAGGGATGCGAAAACACGCGCGCATGAGATTCGGGGAGATTCGCTATTTTCACACCCATTACTTCGTTAGACTCGTTGAGGGACAGCCGCCACACGACTATTACGGCAGTCAACCCGATGGCAACCAACGTATCACACAATGGCTCCAAGCCCTCAGCCACAGACGTATTGATTACGGCCTCTAATCCCTATCCAAATCATAATCCATTAGTTCTATTAACTCGAAAATCAATATTATTTCACTTATAATTCAATAAACATTTGGTTTCGATTTAAAAATTTGGTTTTCGTTTTATTTATAATTAAAATAAACATCTCATCTCTTAAAGCGTTTATAATTGTGTTTATTCTTTGACTTAATCCACATTTTTTGATCCGATTTCTTATTCTTTTTTGCCGATCGTTTCCTAACACTAATGGCTCGCATAAGCATTACTTGTCTATCTTTGGACTCATTTCTGGCCTTTTGGACCAGTTTTTGACTGTAAAACACGTCTTCACGAAAACGTCCGTCATTTGGAAGAAAAAAGAATTTAAAATAATTAGATTCTTGTTTTGGAAGCACTTTCTTAAGCGTATTGTCTTCGTCTCGATTGATGACCAGTTGGTGGTCGTCTTCGTCGTCATCACTACTGCTATCATATTTGAAAGGATTGGGCAAAACATCCTTTTTTCGATGACTATTATTCAATTTATCAAAAGTGATATCTTTTGTATCATTTGTATGAGAAGTAATTGTTGTGCTATTTTCACAATCATTATGCGATCCAAACATTTGAGTCAATGAAAATGGTTGGTCTTTGTTGGCCAATGTCTTCATGAGGTCAGCACTTACTTCATAGTATACCTCTTTAGATACATCGGCACTCTTTTGATCTGTTTTAGCAATTGTTTCATCAAATGTCACTTTCTTTGACATCTTGTGGTCGGAACCACTGCTCACTTCATAAACAGACGATTTCTCATTCTTAGGATCAAAACGTGAAACAAATAAATTATTGACAGAAACTTCACTCTTCCTATCAATCAAGTTATCACTTCTTTTGATAATTGGGTCAAATTTTTTGCCCAAAACTTCTTCTAAAATTGTCAAATTCTTGTGCTTCTCATCGACTTCGGTGTCCTTGTCTTGCAATTGATCCAAAAATCTGTGGTCAATCCTGAATCTCGAGTCGTGTGCAAAGCGTGAGTTCAATGCAATCAATTTCTCGGCATTTTTATCGTTAATCTTCTTATCAAAGTCTTTAAGAGCGACGCCATTGTCTTCATCAGAATCGCTATCAAACAGTTGTTTGCTTTTTCTAATTGTATTATCACTTGATTTGTTGCTCGACTCACTTCTTGCAGACGAATGCACGCATTTGTGGTCTTCATGAAAAACAATGCGTTTATTAACTCTTAGGGAGTCATTGAAGTCATTGATGGCATTCTTGACCACCGATTGCTGTCGTCGATCGCAAACCAATTTCTCATTCAATGTCTTCAAGCGTTTGTCATTTGATTCTTGTCTTAGTTTGGCATCACTTGTGTGGACGCGGTTCACATCCCTCTCCACGTGTTTGCCCACCGATTGTGGATCTACTGGTGATGAGGATTCACTCTTCCTATCAATCAAGTTATCACTTCTTTTGATAATTGGGTCAAATTTTTTGCCCAAAACTTCTTCTAAAATTGTCAAATTCTTGTGCTTCTCATCGACTTCGGTGTCCTTGTCTTGCAATGGATCCAAAAATCTGTGGTCAATCCTGAATCTCGAGTCGTGTGCAAAGCGTGAGTTCAATGCAATCAATTTCTCCGCATTTTTATCGTTAATCTTCTTATCAAAGTCTTTAAGAGCGACGCCATTGTCCTCATTGTCTTCATCGGAATCGCTATCAAACAATTGTTTGCTTTTTCTTATCATATCATCACTTGATTTGTTGCTCGACTCACTTATTGCAGATGAATGCACGCATTTGTGGTCTTCATTAAAAACAATGCGTTTATTAAGTCTTAGGGAGTCATTGATGGCATTCTTGACCACCGATTGCTGTCGTCGATCGCAAACCAACTTCTCATTCAATGTCTTCAAGCGTTTGTCATTTGATTCTTGTCTTAGTTTGGCATCACTTGTGTGGACGCGGTTCACATCCCTCTCCACGTGTTTGCCCACCGATTGTGGATCTACTGGTGATGAGGGGTTCGCTGATCCCATATCTGCTTCATATGACTTAATGCCACTAAATTTGGGTATCAATTGATCCAAAGTCTTCATATTATACTTCAATATCACAATCAAAACTGTAAACACGTGTTTCAGTCACTATTCAATGCAACAGCCAATCAGTCAATCATTTCTTATAACAAAAATAACGTTTATTTATATCTCAAGTGAATATATATTTTCATATTATTTATACATATTTTTGAGTTCATATTAAAAAAGGGATTCAATTCACTAAATATTGTATTACGATATTTATTAATACTTTCAACGTTTAATATTATGTATTGTTAATTAAAGTGAATGTAAGTTAACTTCATTTATGGATTCAGACCTTTATATGATATGAGATGTCATGTGTTTTATGGTTACAAAAGTACTAAAACTATTGACACGTGTTATGGCAAAGAGTTGTGCGACACGTCATACACAATGAGTACTGTATTGACTGCAAGAGTGAGTGAGAGAGGGCTCCCAAAGCCAAGAGTACATGATTATAGGCCATACGCTCTCTCCCTCTCCCGCTCTCTCTCTCTCTCTCTCTCAGCCTTTCTCTCGCTTTCTCTCCCTTTCTGTGTCTGGTATTGAGGAGGAGTCGCACAACACGTTGTGGTGAGTACTGTATAGTCGACTATCGCTCATCTCATACCTGTCCACTCATTTTGTTGTCCACCATATCTTAGATTTGGTGACCACTGCTTTGGACACGACATCGGGAACCACTGCTCTCCCAGACTGTTATAATCGGGTAATTATTTGATAATTGATTATTTGTGTCAAATGTTTGGCTCTGGTATGCGATGGTGTGGTGTGTGTTGTGCTCACACAATATGGAGGCTCACGTTTGCCGGCTATCAATGCTTTTGATTGACGATTGCATTGATTTGTATAATTTGTATAACAATTAGTTTAATTGTTTTGCTCTACTTTAGCGTCAATTGAATCGTTAGACACAACTAAGACATGGAAGGCGATGAAGGAGAGTATCACGAGGTGGCGGCATCGGGTGCGTCGGCCACATACCCGGTCCAGTGCTCCACACTCAGGAAGAATGGCTTTGTCATGATTAAGGCCCGTCCCTGCAAGATCATGGAGATGAGCACTTCCAAGACTGGCAAACATGGCCACGCTAAGGTATGCATTATACCATAATGATGATAGTGATTGTGGTCACTCTACTTCACTACTCACGCCTCACTCCATTTCAGGTTCATTTGGTAGGACTCGATATTTTCACTAATAAAAAGTATGAAGACTTGTGTCCATCGACTCATAACATTGATGTGCCGAATGTGAACCGAAGTGACTTCCAGGTAATGTCCACAATACTGCTATTGGATTTCGATTAATGTGTTGTGTGTTGCGTGTAGTTGATTGATATCAGTGACGATGGTTTCGTCACTTTGATGAACGACAAGGGAGACACTCGCGACGACCTCCGCATCCCTGAGGGAGAAATGGGCCAAAAAATAAAGGAAGAATACGGTCGCGAAGATAACACCGTTATTGTATGCAAACCAATGCCACTATGTTTCCAACGTCTTGTATTGTCATTCATTGTCTTTTAGGTGACAGTGATGTCTGCTGTGGGCGAGGAAGCGATCATTGCGTGTAAAAACGCCAACGCATAGTCTTTTGCACCACAAATCCATTTAGTGTTTTAATGATTATTTTCACATCAAATAATCGCCGAAAATATATCTATACATAGAAACACCAAACAATTGTTTTTTTATTATTATGATTACTATAACTAAATTGAGGGGAAAATCTTTTTTATTATAATTAAAAACAACATAAAAACATAACTTTTTATTTTCGGGAGCACTGGATATGTGAAAAAGAAATGATTATTAATTTTCTATTGAATTTGAATTATTAAAAGTTTGAAAATTATTGCGAATTTTGTTTATTTTTTGTTGAGCATTTTTATTTAACCTTGGTTAACAATTATTTACGTTAATCTTAATTCAAATGATTACGATTTGGTTTTATGACAATTAGGTGTCGAATAATGCTTTTTTGCTGATCAGTGATCACTGTTTTAGTTGTTTTTTTTTTTGCTAATTTGCATTCATTAAGAGAAAATTAAAAAATATGAATATATATAATACATGTATTATAAATAACTATTGTTTTAATCATATTTTAGGATAAATACAATTGAAAAGCAAATTTTATTATTAATTACTCTAATTTTTTAAATAAATAAATTAATTTAATAAATGTTTTCTATAATAATTAAACAATATATTTAATTAATGTTACTTTAGTTTTTTGTAATTTTCTATATATCTACAATTTAGTGATGAACTTTGAATGATGAACTTAGTTGTTGTATTTGTTGACCTTATTTGAATTGTACAATTGCACAAAAGTTACTTTCAGCGGAGAATCATCCGATTCTAAATTATGAATTAATTTCATTTGACCAGTATTCAATTTAGAATCGTTTTGCGAACTCAATACAAATCCCATAACCATGGTCCATTTACTAACAACCGTAAGTTCTAATCATTTTCAAGCTATCCAAACTATATGTGAATTCACATTTCAATGTCGTATTACCGTAAATATTGTCATATACAGTAAATGAATGTGTTGATAACATGGTCATTTCTAGCCATTCCTCGCTACATGCCTTTATATTTTTAAAACATCATCCATTTATAATAGGATATATTCATTACAATTGTTTGATTTTGTATTAAAAGTTAAATGGAATGACATTTTTAATGTTAACCGTTGTATCCAAGATATCGGGTTAAATGACTACATTCATAGTTATTTAATTCTGGTGCAAACTATTTAATGATACATACTTACGACCAAATATTGTGATATACCAATAATTAATTTCATAATGTATCATGATTTATAAAATGAACCAGCTTAAATCCACTGATCTTCTAAGTTTTTGCCAAACCTGAAAGCATAAATATAATTATATATCATTATATACATTGATAGAAAGGTATGGATGAGAATATAATTGTGAAGGAATTTCCTAACAATTGTATTTTTTATGATGAGTAACGTAAAATAACGTAACTTTACATGTAATTAGTTTACTTTTACTCATTTCACATCAATTTTAATTGCAATTACAATTATAATTAAATTACTAAAATAAAAATTGGTCAAAATTTTAAATAAAAATTGTTGACATTTTGGCCATTATTTTATCGCATATTACACCCCTTTACACCCCTTTACACTACTTTACTTCCTATTTACACTTTTTAATACAACCTTAGAAATGGGGGAAATAACTCATTGCCATTAGACTATATTTTACTCTTAATTAACTTAAACTTCCTATACTTTAATACATTTACAGTAATATTATTAAATGTAT